TCATTGTTGATTTTAGCTGGCCCAGGCCAGGTTTGAATCCATTGGCCCATTAGCCTTGGTGTATGTGGATGGCACCCTACCCAGTGAGCTATGGGCGCTGCCTCTAAGTGTCTACTGACAGATGAACAGATGAAGAAAATGTGGTATACATAAACAGTGGATACTATTCAGCCTTAAAAAAGAAGGAAATTCTGTCATTTGTGACAATGCGGATGAACCTGGAGAACATTATGTTAAATTAAATAAGCTAAGCAGAGAAAGACAAATGTTGCATAATCTCACATGTGGCATCTAAAAAAATTGAATCCAAAGAAGTAGGGAGTAGAACGGTGGTTCTCAAGGGTTGTGGAGATGTTGGTCAAAGGATACAAACTTTCTGTTAGAAGGAATAAGTCCAAGAGATCTATTGTACAACATGAAGACTGGAATAAGTTGGAATAAGTGAAATAAGTTGCAATAGGAAAGTGCCTCTAATAAGGTCAAATATTCTTTTCTTTTCTTTCTTTCTTTTTTTTTTTTTTGAGACTCTGTTGCCCAGGCTAGAGTGCTGTGGTGTCAGCTTAGCTCACAGCAACCTCAAACTCCTAGGCTGAAGCAATCCTCCTGGCTCAGCCTCCTGAGTAGTTAGGACTGCAGATGCCTGCCACAACACTTGGCTAATTTTTTCTAGTTTTAGTAGAGATGGGGGTCTCACTCTTGTTCAAGCTGCTCTTGAACTCCTCAGCTCTGCAATCCACCCATCTAGACCTCCTAGAGTGCTAGGATTACAGCTGTGAGCCACCGGGCCCAGCTAGGGTCAAATATTCTTATTAACTTGTAGCAACCATGTGCCCATGTACTGTCACAGGAGTTAGAGCAGTAGGACGATGCTGGTGGTGACAGAGGAATATAACACTTTTCATGTTCATCTTCTCATTTTATTCTTTTTTTTTTTTTTGAGACAGAGTCTCACTATGTTGCCCTTGGTAGAGTGCTGTGGCATCACAGCTCACAGCAAACTCTTGGGCTTAAGTGATTCTCTTGCCTCAGCCTCCCAAGTAGCTGGGACTACAGGTGCCCACCACAATGCCTGACTATTTTTTGGTTGCAGTTATCATTGTTGTTTAGCTGGCCTAGGTTGGCCTGAACCTGCCAGCTTTGGTGTATGTGGTCGGCACCCTACTCACTAAGCTATGGGCACCAAGCCTCCCATTTAATTCTTACAACTTTAGCAGATTCTATTCTCTCATTTACAGATGAAGAAGTGGGTTAGGTAGTAACTCAAGTTCCATCACATATGAGAAGCTCTGAGTAAGAAGCCTCACATGTATAATACGCATGTCTAGCAATTGAGATCTTTATATTAGCCTGTATATCAGTTAAAAATAACTCATTTTCCAGAACCTCTAAATAAGGGTATTTGATATTTAAAAAAAGACATACCAGCTGGGTGTGGTGGCTCACACCTGTAATCCTAGCATTCTGAGAGGCTTAGGCGGGTGGATTGCCTGAGCTCAGGATTTGAGACCAGCCTGAGCAAGAGCCAGACCCTGTCTCTACTGATAATAGAAAAAATTAGTCAGATGTTGTGGTGAGTGCCTATAGTCCCAGCTCTTGGGAGGCTGAGACAAGAGGATCTCTTGAGCTTAAGAGTTTGAGGTTGTTGTGATCTATGATGATGCTATGGTGCTCTACACAGGGTGATAGAGTGAGACTCTGTCTTAAAAAAAAAGAGAGACATATCTTTATTATATCTATTATTACAATTCCCTTTCCTTTCCTTCCCTTCCCTTTTCTCCTTTCTCCTCTCCTTTCCTTGGCGTAGAAAACACGCTAGAGCCCCTGCAATGGTGTACAAAACATGCTAGTGCTTCTGCATTGGTGTAAAAACATGCCAGTGCATCTGCATTGGCACAAAAAACATGCTAGTGCCTCTGCATTGGAGTAGAAAAAGCGCATTTTCTACACCAATGCAGAGGCACTAGCGCTTTTATTATGCAAATGCAGAGGCACTAGCGCGTTTTTTTTCACCACTACAGAGGCACTAGCGTAGATTTTACGCTAATGAAGAGGCACTAGCGTGTTTTCTACGTCAATGCAGGGGCACTGGAGCATTTTTCTACACCAATGCAAGGGCACCAGCGCATTTTCTATGCCAATGCAGAGGCACTAGTGTGTTTTCTACGCCAATGCAGAGGCACTAGCGTGATTTTTTTATGCCAATACAGAGGCACTAGCGTGTTTTTTACGCCAATGCAGGGGCACTGGCACGTTTTCTATGCCAATGCAGGGGCACTAGCGCATTTTCTATGCCAATGCAGGGGCACTGGTGTGATTTTTTACGCCAATGCAGGAGCATTAGTGCATTTTCTATGCCAATGCAGGGGTGCTAGCGCGTTTTCTACACCAATGCAGGGGCACTAGTGCGTTTTTTTCCTGCCAATGCAGAGGCACTGGCGTGTTTTTATACGCCAATGCAGAGGTACTAGCATGGTTTTTATGCCAATGCCAAGGGACTAGCTCGATTTTTAACGCCAACGCATAGGCACTAGCTCTTTTTCTACGCCAATGCAAAGGCACTAGCATGTTTTCTAGGCCAATGCAGGGGCACTAGGGTGTTTTTCTATGTCAATACAGAGGCACTAGTGCAATTTTTACACGAATGCAAGGGCACTAGCCCATTTTTAGACCCAATGCAGGGGCACTAGCGCGTTTTTCTGTGCCAATGCAGGGGAACTAGCGCGTATTTCCTCACCAAAGCATTGGCGCGGTAATATAACCCGTGTAGGGCACTAACACCCACACGCGGTAATGTGACTCATGTACGGTACTAACACCTGCGTGCAGTAATGTGACCCCTCTGCATTGCCGTAGAAAATGTGCTAGTGCCTCTGCATTGGCATAAGAAAATGTGCCAGTGCCCCTGCATTGGTGTAGAAAACGTGCTCGTGCCTCTACATTGGCGTAAAAACACGCCAGTGCCTCTGCATTGGCGGAAAAAAACGCACTAGTGCCCCTGCATTGGTGTACAAAATGCGCTAGTGCCCCTGCATTGGTGTAAAAAAAGTGCTAGTGCCTCTACACTGGCGTAGAAAAACATGGTAGTGTCTCTGCATTGGCGTAGCAAAAGCCCTTTTTCTACGCCAATGCACAGGCAGTAGTGTGTTTTCTACATCAATGCAGAGGCACTAGCGCATTTTCTATGCCAATGCAGAGGCACTAGCGCGTTTTCTACACCAATGCAGGGGCACTAGCGCATTTTTTTTTACACCAATGCAGAGGCACTAGCGCATTATCTATGCCAATGCAGGGGCACTAGTGCATTCTTCTCTGCCAATGGCGATGTACTGGAATGTTTTTACACCAATGCAGAGGCAGTAGTGTGTTTTTTTTATGCCTATGCAGAGGCAGTAGCACGTTATCTACGCCAATGCAGGGGCACTAGTGCGTGTTTTTACGTCAATGCAGGAGCACTAGCGCGTTTTTTTCTGCCAATGCAGAGGCACTGGCGTGTTTTTTTACACCAATGCAGAGGTACTAGCATGGTTTTTATGCCAACGCTGAGGGACTAGCGTGATTTTTAACGCCAATGCATAGGCACTACCTCTTTCTCTACACCAATGCAGAGGCACTCACACGTTTTTGGTACACCACTGCAGAGGCACTAGCGTATTTTTTTCTGCCACTGCAGAGGCACTAGCGTGTTTTTCCACGCCAATGCAAGAACACTAGCCCATTTTCAGAGCCAATGCAGCGGCACTAGGGCATTTTTCCGAGCCAATACAGGGGCACTAGTGTGTTTTTCCACACCAATACAGAGGCACTAGTGTGTTATTCCACGCCAATGCAGGGGCATTAGCGCGTATTTCTGCACCAATGCATTGGTGTGGTAATATGATCCGTTTACGGTTCTAAGACCCACATACGGTACTAACACCCATGAGTGGTTCTATGACCCACGTGCGGTACTATGACCTACATATGGTACTAACACCCATGCATGGTAATATGACCTGCATACGTTACTAACACCTATGTGTGGTACTATTACCCGCGTACAGTACTAAGACCCACACGCATGCGGTAATATGACCTGCATGCGGTACTAAAACCTATGTATGGTACTAACACCCGCCAGCGGTAATATGACCTGTGTGCGGTACTAACACTGGCTTCCGGTACCAAGACCTGTGCATGGTAATCTAACCCGCTCACAGTACTATGACCTGCGTATGGTACTAACACCTGTGCACGGTAATATGACCTGCGTATGGTACTAAGATCCTCTTATGGTACTAACACCCACGTGCAGTAATATGACCCACGTGCGGTACTAACACCACGTACGGTACTAAGACCCACGTACAATACTATGTCCCGCATATGGTACTAGCACCCCTGAGCGGTAATAGACCAGTATACGGTACTAACACCCGTGCACGGTAATATGACCCATGTGCGGTAGTATAACTCGCGAATGGTACTAACACCTGCTTGCGGTACTAAGACCCGTATATGCTACTAACACCCGTGCGCGGTAATGTGACCCGGGTAAGGTACTAAGATCCTCGTATGGTATTAACACCCGCATGCAGTAATATGACCCACATGCAGTACTATCACCTGCGTATGGTACTAAGCCCCGCGTGTGGTAATTTAACCCCCCTGCATTGGTGTAGAAAATGCACTAATGCCTCTGCACTGGCGGGAAAAAAACGTGCTAGTGCCCCTGCACTGGCGTAGATTTCCTTTCCTTTCCCTTCCCTTCCCTTTCCTTTCCTCAGAGTGTCACTCTTGCCCCAGGTTAGAGTCTGGTGAAGTCAGCAAGGCTCAAGGCAGCCTCAAACTCCTGGGTTCAAACAATCTTCCTGCCTCAGCCTCTCAAGTAGCTGGGACTATAGGTACCCACCACAATGCCTGGCTAGTTTTTCTATTTTTAGTGGAGACAGGGGTCTTGCTCTTGCTTAGGCTGGTCTCAAACTCCTGACCTAAGGTGATTCTTCAGCCTTGGCTTCCTATAGTGCTAGGATTTCAGGCATGAGCCACCCCACCTGGCCTATTATTACAATTTTCATTCATGACAAGTTTCAGGGCACTGGAAACACATCCTCAGGAAGTTGGGCCTTTTGTTTCTATCCAAGTGAGACCTAGATTGTTGGTATTATTATTTTTTGAGTAGTGATTGGTGGGACCTGAAATAGGAAAATTGAGGACAGGAATTAAGGCCTTTGAGAGGTAAGAAATCCAAGCAGTCCTGGCAGCTGGCTCTAAGGAGGCATGTTATCACAGTTTTACCTCTCCCACAACATCTCCTTTCTTTCCTCAATACCTCCTTGTCCTCCTAGCAGCCCAGAGCAAACATCTCTGAGCCTAGAGCTAGGCCATCTCAGTGGACCTGAGCCTGGGTATGAGGGGTGGCAGCAGCTGTCGTATTAGAAGCTCCCCAGGGTGGACAAGGACGCTTTGTCTAAATATGGGAGCCTGGAGCTCATCATTCTGAATCACTCACCTTTCCAGGTTGGTGGGAGTCACCCACAGAGTGCTGGGCTCGGAGGTCCTCTGTCTGATTTCCAAAAAGGTCGGGTTGATGACATCCATTGTCTCGGGATGCTGAGCTGCTCTCGGGTTTCAGCTTCTAATCATAATCAGCTTCTCTTAATCATAATGGGTTAGCCAGCATGTCTACCACTTTTCTTGGCTCTTCCTAAGATGCTAACTCTCAGGAGAAAAGGCAATTTGTGTTTTACATAGAACATTTTTCTTTTTAGTAGATAATAGAAAAATGACAGAAATTGTCCTGCTCTCCATGTCTTACAGACACTCCCTAATGTACAACATTTTACTCTCAAAATTTCTTCTTAAATCTTTATTCACCTAAGTCCCTCACAAAAAGACTTACGGTTTTTATTTCTTTTTCTTTTTTCCAAAACAGCTAATCATTTTTTTTCTAGAACACCCCCCCCCCCCCCAACAAACTCCTTGCCTTATGCCTACCACTGAAATGTCAGGTCGAGCTGACCCAACATACAAAAACAACAGGTTTGGTTCTACCTGAACGTGGCACAACCCACTGCAGGAGGTGAGATCTCATCCGGGTGCTGGTGCTCCAGAAGTAAGGTAGCTCAGGGAGAATCTGTGGTCTCTGTCTTCTTGTGGAAACATGAGGCGCCAAGAGAGGGAAACTGCCCAGGAGAGGTTCTACGAGAAACTCATCTTCCTCTCTCCCCCAAAGAAGAGCAGAAAGAGCAAACCACTTTGTCAGAATGGAAACAGAGAGTCAGTCACAGGAAGCGACGCCACCAATGTGCTAATGATGCACAGGGTACAGGAAATGCTGCTGAGCCCTTAATAAGATAGAAAGAAACGTTATCTTCAACTCACTCTTCCCTGGGCTTGCCAGGTGCTCCGTGGTTTGTGATAAGGATGATTAAAAATTAGGCAAACTGGTGGAGGACTTGTGATTGTTCGCCCTGAATTTCTGAAACTTTTAGACGTTTATAAGCCTCTAGGTTTTTTTTTTTTTTTCTTAGCAAGTCTAAGGAACACTGGAGGGTGTTTTTTAGAGACAAAGACAGATTTCTGAGACCCAGCTTCTGGTTGAGTGGGCGGAGGCTGCAGAGGGAGTGGGCTTTTCAAATAGATACTTTCCAGGTGATTTTGACAGAGCTGGTTTGTGTTTCACATTTTGAGAACTGCTGCCCTGGATGCTGCCCCAAGACTGGAGCTAAGGCTGGGTTAGCAGGGCCCCTGGGGCCATTTGTTTCACACATATCCTCCTCCCCCCTCCCCCACCTCCCTGCCCTGGCTGTTGTTATCTCCTTCTTGGTTCTGTTGGCAGCGCTGTCATGGAGAAGAGCAGTCCTAGCCTTGCTTATTGTGCACCTGTCTCAGAAACTGGATTGTTCACCCCCAGGGCTACTTCGAGTGTCCCAAACTTGTGTGTGTGTCCCCCAAATTTTGAAGATTGTTAGAAATTTGTTTCTAGGGGGTGGCACCTGTGGTTCAGTCGGTAGAGTGTCGGCACCATATACTGAGGGTGGCAGGTTCAAACCTGGCCCCGGCCAAACTGCAACAAAAAAATAGCCAGGCGTTGTGGTGGGCGCCTGTAGTCCCAGCTACTAGGGAGGCTGAGGCAAGAGAATCGCCTAAGCCCGGGAGTTGGAGGTTGCTGTGAGCTGTGATGCCACTGTACTCTACCGAGGACAATAAAGCGAGACTCTGTCTCCACAAGAAAAAAGAAATTTGTTTCTAGTCCTCTTCCCCTCTTTCCACTACTAATCTCCAGAAACATTCTTTGCATCTTGGGAGAGCCCAAAGGAAGGGATCTGTGAGGCGGCTGTGAGGACGTGAAGAGCCTCATTGCCTTCACTTTCCACAAGGAAATGGGTTCCCAGGTGCGTGGAAGGGAAGACACCCAGTGCCTTCATCACCATACCTCTCCCATTTCTCCCTGGAGGACATAAAGGGTCTCAGTTTTCCTGGGTCAACAGTCCCTACCATGAATCCAGGCTTCCAGGGGTCCCTTTCCAGGAAGTTCTACCATCACAGGTCCTTGGCGCCCTCCCTCCCAGGAGCCTTATCTGGTAGGAAGCAGAGACGGCTGAGAGGTAGCTGGTTCTAGAGCTGGACTGGGTCCTGCCCACTTCTCCTTTGGATCAGATAGAGAGTAAAAGCCAGGACTTCTCAGCCCTTGGAACCAATAATGGACTGCGTGTGAACTGGGAACTTGGAAGGTGGCACAAGAGAAGGGCACATAGAACCAAATCTTAGAACTTTGACTGCCACTTAAAAAAATGAATTTTTTCTTTTTGAGACAGTGTCTCACTATGTTGCCCTCAGTACAGTGCTGTCACGTCACAGCTCACAGCAACCTCCAACTGCTGGGCTTAGGCGATTCTCTTGCCTCAGCCTCCTGAGTAGCTGGGACTACAGGCGCCCACCACAACACCTGGCTATTTTTTGGTTGCAGTTTGGCCGGGGCCAGGTTTGAACCCGCCACCCTAGGTATAGGGTGCCGACGCTCTACCAACTGAACCACAGGCGCCACCCCCTAGAAACAAATTTCTCTTGCCTCAGCCTCCCAAGTAGCTGGCACTATAGGTGCCCACCACAACACCCAGTTATTTTTTGTTGCAGTTGTCATTGTTGTTTTAGCTGGCCCGGGCCAGGTTCGAACCCACCAGCCTCAGTGTATGTGGCTGGCACCGTAACCACTGTGCTATGGGTGCCAAGCCAAAAAGATTTTTTTTTAAAAAAGAACTTCCTGGCAGGAGACTCGCTTGGGCGAGCCCAGGAGTTGGAGGTTGCTGTGAGCTGTGATGCCATAGTACTCTACCCTGGGGGACAGCTTGAGGCTCCTGTCTCAAAAAAAAAAAAAAAAAAAGAACTTCCCCTTGCTTGTGATGATTTCTCTTATCTGCCCAGCCCGCTGTAATCGGACCAATCTGACTAGTTTTCCTAGTTCTTTCCTACCCCCACATCTGAGGAAACCATCTCCTCAGTGAGGTGGACTCTTCCTGAGTCCCCACTCCCAGGATGTGGGCTGAGTGCCAGGTTTCCAGGCTGTGCCCCTTCATCTCATTCTTCTTTCCCTCCCATGGGGCAAAACCTCATAAAATCAACAAATTAGAACAAAAAGTAGGTAATTGAAGCGATTGATCATAACAGTGGAAGAAAACCACTGATTCCTAGGAAATGGGGTGTATATCTTAAACCTGATTGCTCACTTTTGTTGATTTTAGGGGTTGAGTGTAACATGATTATAAAGAATTAAGATTGATTTGGGGGGGGTTTGTTTTTGAGAAACTCTGTCGCCTAGGCCAGAGTGCCATGGACTCTACTTAGTTCATAGCAACTTCAGATTCCTGGGGTCAAGAGATCCTCCTGCCTCAGCTTCCTCAATTACAGGCATGCACCATCATGCCCGGCTAACTTTTCTCTTTTTAGTAGAGATGAGGTCTTGCTCCTGCTCAGGCTGGTCTTGAACTCCTAAGCTCAAGTGATCTGCCGCCTTAGCCTCCCAGAGCATTTACAGGGGTAAGCCACCTCACCTGGCCAAGATTGGTTTTGTTTTTCTTGTTTCTTTGTTTTTGTTTTTTGTTGAGACAGAGTCTCACTATGGTGCCCTTGTTAGAGTGCCATGGCATCACAGCTCACAGCAACCTCAAACTCTTTGGCTGCTTAAGAAATTCCCTTGCCTCAGCCTCCCAAGTAGCTGGGACTATAGGCACCCACCACAACACCTGTATTTTTTGTTGCAGTTGTCATTGTTTAGCTAGCCTGGGCTGGGTTTGAACCTGCGACCCTCAGGGTATATGGCTGGTTCCATAACCACTGTGCTATAGGTGCTGAGACCCAAAGTTGGTTTTGAATAGATATAATTTGTGTATCCAAGTCAGCAAAGTCCTTTGGTGGGGATATAGCAACTATGTGCTATTTTGTTGATGTTGCTAACACCAAAAAACGTTTAAGAAGTCTTCTTTGGGCTGGTTGCAGCGGCTCACCCCTATAATCCTAGCACTTTGGGAGCCTGAGGTGGGTGGATTGCTTGAGCTCAGGAGTTCAAGATCAGCCTGGGCAAGAAAGAGCGAGACCCTGTCTCTACTAAAAATAGAAAAACTCGCTGGATGTTATATAGTCCCAGCTACTTGGGAGACTGAGGCAAGAGAATTGCTTGAGCCCAAGAGTTTGAGGTCGCTGTGAGCTATGATGCCATAGCACTCTAACCAGGGTAACAGAGTGAAACTCTGTCTCAAAAAAAAAAAAAAAGTCTTCTTTGGAAAGAAGGAAACACCGTGTTAAGAAAGAGTATCAACGTGGGTTCAAATTCTAAATTACTAGCTGGCAGATCTTGGCAGCTTATCTAATCTTTTTGGGTATTTCCTTGAATGTAAAATGACAATAATAATAGTACTTATATAATGCTGTTGTGAGAATTAATTGGGCTAACAATGACAAATGCTGAGCATAGGACTTGGCACATGTCAGATCTCATTAAATGGAGGCTACTATTATATAGTATTATAACATTAGTCATTTATTTATACTTAATTGACTGCTTCCTTTGGCCTTTCTCTTTTACTTCTTTTTTTCTTATTTGTTTCTTTTCTTTGTTTCTTCTTCTTCTTCTTTTTTTAGTTTTTTTAAACAGAGAATGCCTTATTCTGTTACTTAGGCTGGGGGTGCAGTAACACGATTATACCTCACTATAGACTTCAACTGTTGGGTTCAAGCCATCCTCCTGCCTCAGCCTCCCAAGTAGGTGGGACTACAGGTATGTACCACTATGCCTAGCTTAGTTTTTTATGTTTTGTAGGGATGAAATTTTCCTCTGTTGTCCAGGCTGGCCTGAGTTCAAGGGCAGGAGTTCACTGGCCGCAAGCTGCCCTCCTGCCTTGGCCTCCTGAAGTGCTAGGATTATGGGCATGAGCCACTGTGCCCGGCTTTCTTTTCCTCTCTTGATGGTTACCTGCCTGCCCTTCATGTGTTACTTTATTTATTTATTTATTTTTTAGAGACAGAGTCTCACTTTGTTGCCCTTGGTAGAGTGCCGTGGCATCACAGCTCACAGCAACTTCTAGCTCCTAGGCTTAGGCGATTCTCTTGCCTCAGCCTCCCGAGTAGCTGGGACTACAGGTGCCTGCCACAACACCCGGCTATTTTGTTTTTGTTGTTGTTGCAGTTTGGACGGG